AAAACTTCAATTTCCTAAAGAAACTAAAGCATCAATGTATATTATTATTATTATTATTATTATTATTGTTATTATTATTCATGGATTTTTATAACAAAACTTTTCAAATAATTTCACATATTTTAATTACAATAATAAGTCTTAAGTTGAAGATTTACAAGTAAATCCATTCTCTGGAAATCTTATCAGAACTTAATGTACTCCATATGTCTACAGTCCATTTGTACACATTTTCATTATTGTATTACAAGTTCAGAATCGTACCTGTAATTCTTTTTAATAAAGTCATCAGAATAAATCAATTAGATAAAACTTTAACACTAAATTTAGCTCTATGAGTACTGCCCCCAATACTTCTACATATACATTCATATAAATACGGTATGCCTATGTATACATTATATATAATATATAGTATAGGTAGCATTGATATGCACTATATATTATGTAAGTGATATATATTTTAGATACATACATTATAAGGAACATGTATTATACAAATAGGTACATATTAAAATGCTTCTCACTTCATGTATTTATCTGTTTCCACATTGCTACCTCTAAATTTGAGATCTGAATATAGTAGAAAGGATACTGAACTGGGAATTCAGAGGTTTATTGCTAGTTCTCACTTGTAACCTGAAGCAATCCATATGTTCACAGGAGGCTTCTTATTTATATGGGAAAGCAATGGGACCAGAAAAGCAACCCCCAAAATAAGGTATGAAGAAAACTAATTCTACAAATTGTCTTGTGGACTGACAAATGAGAAAATAAAACTGGCAAAGCTTGCTTATTTCCTACCCCTCCATAGCAATTCTTGGTACCTTAGTGCAAACCTCCTGCTAAAGAAAATTGCAGGAGGCTGTTCAGTTCAGCCTTTGTAATTGCATCCCATTCAATTGAGACCTTTGGCTTTGGAAACATATCTGGCAGACCTTGTCATGACATTGATCAGATGTTTACATGCTCATGACACGCTTGGGTTTTGCTATTCTCTTTAGAATCTCTGAACAGACTTTGAGATTCTTTCCAGCTCTAACATTCTATTTTTATGTGGAATATTTTTTTCACCAAATTTCCCATTGGCAGGCGTTAGTCCTCAGAAGTGGCAACACTTAAATGCTCTTACCAAGCTTTATCACTTCAGAAGGTGTGAACCATGTATGAGTCATGTCTACTTGCTAATAGAAAATGAAAAGCTAACTATGATTATGATTCACACCTCTTCAATTGCTCCTAACACTAAAACAAACAAACAAAAAAAAAACTCAGTGCCACTAAGAATGCACCAGGCTCTTTCTTTAGTGGAAATATACTAGTAGATGGATGACAAATAGATGAGTCCTTTTGAATATAAAAAACATGGGTCATCATGAAGCCACCAAATATTTCCACTCTATTGAAAATAGAAAGGCATTTGATCAAGTTCCCCTCACTACACATATTAAAAATATTTAATAAAAAGTGAACTATTTTTTTCTGGTTACTACACAAGGTTCGTCATCATCAAATCAGCCAGCATCAGGTGGGTAGGAGCTGTCTGAATGCAGGGAAGATGACAGGTCCTGGCACAGGCTCAATAAAAAAAGATTTTTTACTTACTACAGAATGGATTTATGCCAGTAGTATCCAAAAACACAGTTGTCCTAAGAGATCTTTTCATTCTTTCTTCTAAAACATCTTTCCATAGCTCAGCTTGATAACCTGATATTTGAGAAATAGAACATTAGAAATTGGACTTCCATCAAATAGCTTGTAAAAACTTCAATTTCCTAAAGAAACTAAAGCATCAATGTATATTATTATTATTATTATTATTATTATTGTTATAGAGAGTGTGTGTGTGTGTTGGGGGGATTCCAGGACTATCATCCCAGTGCTCATCCAAGGCTTGCTGCTGCCCTGACCCGGTAGCTCAGGTAGCTCAGTTGGTTAGCGTGTCCCATAGGCCAAGGTTGTGGGTTTGATCACAGGTCAGGGCACATATAAGGA